ACACCAAAATATCAATATTGTAGAACATCTTTCAAATGAATGGCTACTAATATTGAATAATTTTTTACAGCTTACACGTGTAGAAAATGATTCTGATATTATCAAAATTAAATCAAGTATCATTAAATTCGTTAATTTTATTCCAAAAAATATAAGCGGATCAGTTGATGAAGATAAATTTCCAAGTTATTATCGAGAGCATTACTTAAATTTATTAACCAACTTAAAAACAATTTTAACAAATATTTGTGTTCTTTTGAATTGTGTAGCAATAGAGCCAATGTTTTTATTTGGTAAGGAGTTACCTGACGAAGTAAACAAACCACCCCATTATCCTGAAAAACTTGAAACTGTAGAATATTACAGTTTACTTAATGCAAAAACATTTTTAAAAAAAATCGTAAATCTTCCTGTAAACTATGATGTAGTTAGATCATTTATAAAATACATAGACAGAATCCCCGAAATACAAGCAACTATTATTAATTAAATAGCATGTTATTATATTTAATAAAAGTACTTCTTCTGTACAGGTTGTTTTAGAAAGTTTTTAAAAATATATGTTATTACATACTATTTGTCATATTTTTTTATTTTTTAACATATTTATTCACACATAAATTTATACACATATTTGTATCTCTTACTGTTAAGACAAGATAGACTATTATCACAGTATATAACTTTGCAAATGACACCGAATCTCTCCTATCATATGCGCTATAAAATGATCACGTATTATTTTTAACAGAAGGCCAATCCATGTCAAATCATCGTGCAACTGGTTGCACGACCTTCTCATTTTTTTTTAAATTTTCAGGGTTTATTCTTTATGCTATAATTAGATTAAAACAATTTTTTTTTTCATTACCTTTCCACTTTTACGGCTATTTCAATATAAAAAATTTAAAAAATAGCCATAACGTTAAAAAACACACAGATTATTCAATATTGACATAATCGAATTAAAATTTTAGGTTTAACCTTATTATAACTTAAAGTTTACATAAAAAAAAAAAAATATGTGAAATTCTAGATTTCTATGCTTTCTAAAAATGGCGCTTTTTTGTGAAAATTGGCGTTTTTGAGCTCAACTAAAACTATTAAGAAGTTATTATTTTACTATATAATAATTATACAAAGCTATATGCGTTAAAACATTAATTATATTTTATAAAAAGATACATTATTGAAATAAAGATAAACCTCGAATGTGTGTGCTTTTTAACGCTAAACGAGTTTCATAACATTGTACGCTAAATACTTTCATCGAGTTTTGATCAATCACAGTGAAATACTATGCAAGTTAATTTGTATTAACCCGATTTATTTAGAGTTAATAATCTGAGTAAAGAACGATAAATCAATAGATCAAATATATTCACATCAACTTTCAAACTTCAATCAATCATCATTGACTAGTTAGTACCTTATTATAGACATTTCGACTGGGTGTTAGAGAGGCCATCGCAACTCCAAGAATACTTCAGTGTACTTTCAAAGAAGCTTTTCAATTGATTTATCTTATCATATTAATAAAAAGTACAGTGTATTATTTTCTATTCATATCTACTTGTCTTTATTGTTCTAAATTCTCGAACTTTATTAATTCCGACAGAACCTGAATGCAAATCATTTGACCAAATCCTACATTAAACTTGGTCAAAAATAGGCTATAATAAATTTACACCTTTATTGATTTGATTATTTCAAAAACTTTAAAATCTTTAAATGTATGTATTATATTATAGGTAATTAGATATATACATATTCAAGACTGCGTATAACTAATGCAATCAATAAAATCATAATGATATATTATTAAAATAATAAAAAAAAAAAATCAGATCAAATATGTTTTTCTTATTTTTGAGTATTATTAATGCAGAATAATAGGTATAATGTTTTAAATCATATGCATTGAGTTTTTATTGACACTTCAAATATTGTTTAATAAAAGCATTTTCTTATTGTTCAATTGACTTTAACTAAATTATAAAAAGGTTTCAAGTAGACACTTAAAGTGTAATTAATAAATAATATGAATTAATTGAAGCACAATTTAAAGTTATTGTGTTAATAGTTGGGCTAATAGGTTTAAATACTTCGTAAAATCACAAAAACTAGATTATTTGATATTTGCTGATTAAATTTCTTTGATAGTTAATTGTATACTTAAAAAAATTTTAGTCCTTCTTTTAATAATTATTGACGAATTTTTAATTTTCATTGTACTTTTATAATATATTTATTTTACAGTAAATAACAGAACATAGACTTATTTTAGTAATATAAAATTACGTTAAATTAAGGCTTAGAATATATTATATTTATCTATTTATCTAAATTTCTTAGTCAAAGTGATTATTATTATCAGGGATCGGATTAAAAATATATTTAACGTTTAAATATATTATAACGTTATCTTATAATTGAGTTGTGCAACATTAAAAAGTTGTGCAATTTTTATGTTAACATTTTTAATATTACAACAAAATTCAAATACTCTAAATATAATATTTGAAAATAATTAATTTTTGTTTTAATAAGAGTTATTTGACGTTATAAGTTGTATTATATTTAAACAAATTTCATGTTAATGAGTTGATCAAATTTTGACAAATTTTTTAGTATTAAACGTTATAGTTACAACGTCAGTATGTGTTTAGCGTTGATAATGGTAACATTGTTTCCGAAATACGTATCCGCGACTTTTCATTAATTTTTTGTGGCTTTGAGTTTAATATTTTTAATATTTTTTAGTTTTTTTAAATTAATAATATTTTTAATATAGTTTTAATTTTACTTAACATATTATTAGGTAATTTTCGTATAATAATAGCTCCTAAAATTTTAGTAAAAAAAATTTAGAAGATTTTGACACCTTAGATAATTTAGGAATAGTAATACTTTTTTGAAATTTTGTTTTAAATATTTATATAAAAATAGGTCTTAAATCCTATTGGTCATATTTAACGAAATCTCTTAGATCCAATCCCCAGAATTATAATACACTCTTAAAAATATATTTAGGAGTTCCTTATACATGTAATTGAAAATTTTATCGCATACGACATGTGGGAATTTTTAACACTTCAGTGATAAAATTTGTTTACTTATACACAAAATCTAGTACTTTTAAATGAAATTTTCATTACTTGTATGTAAAATTAAAATGTATACTTGAAATATCATACTAGTATATGTGATTTTCATATAATTTCTAACTATGTAGTAAGTATTCTATATTTACCAATAATATATTCTTAATTAAATTTAGGAGTTGTAATACAATAAATATATTAAATTAAAGTTTTACTGTATACAAAAACTTACTTTAATATATATACATATATTTTTTTTTTTTGTGAAAATTAGTAAGCGGTACAAGTAAAATGCATAAGTCATTTAATACCCATGACGAGTCGAAAAACATGTGTTACAAAAAAGAAAGTATTCTTTAAAATACAAACAAAACAGTTATGACAAGCACTACCACAACGTGCGTTGTGTATATGATGTGAATAAAGACCGTGTGTAAGAAGACAAAATTACGGTTTATACTCGAGAGTTGGTCACGAATTCTTAATATTTTATTCAAAAGAGAATATAGGGTTAAACCGGTGACAAAAGTTTCAAGATGAGCTTTTACGATTTGCCAAACCCTTTTCTTCACTAGAGTGCTATGTTGTTCTGTGTATTCTTTTTAGTTCTGAAGCAGTACACTTGACGACAGTTTTACTGTTTAATATACAACGTGGGCGTAACTTGGCTTATGTGATTTAAAAGCCAATTGTTCTTATTTTTGCATATTACAAGATAATAAGTCAAGCATATTGATTAGCAAGTTGGTATAAAAAAGTTTATCTTTATATTAAACAAGCAAAACCAATTCCACTAGGACTAATGTCAAGTAAAATCGGTAAAAGATATCATTACTCGCGTGTATACCTTTATACTTATTGTATTATCTTCATGAAATAAACTCCCAAAAAAAATTTATCAAATTATTTATACAGTTAAAAGAAACATTTGTTTGCCCCTATAAATTGAAGTTTTACGAATGAAATAAAAACGTCACCAAGGATAAATTATTATTGCGAGATAAAGTTGTGTCAATTGAAAAACAAATGTTTTGGGGTTTTATATAACAGTTCATTATATGTACTGTTATAATTCAAATTTTGATAATGGTTTAATTAATTCTAAAAAAACTAGTTTTAATATATTTGAAATACTATAAAATTTTATTTAGTGAAGTGGTTACTATGGAATCCAAAAATCTATTTTCTTAATATTATATTATATATAAATAATAAAATATAATATACTGTATAATATCATTTAATACTAAATATTATTTAATTGATGTATAGTTATTAGTCGGTAACAAATTTTTAGTCTTAAAATGTTTTTAAGTTATTCTGAACTTATCATCGATAAGTAAAAATTTTTATTGATTGGTTTGAAAATTAAATGTGTTGTGGGAGTTTATTTTAGGCACTTTGAGGGATTATTTACCCTCAAATTAAAAAAATGTCTACGCAACTGTATATATTTAAAACCAATTTGCATGAACTTGAATATTTTCAATCTGACTCAAAAATGTTTTACAAATATATAATAATCATTAGTATTTTAATAGTGATAATATAAAAAAATTTCGTTATATAGAAAAGTAGTAAATTATTAAAAAATATATATAAAGGCAATTAACCACCAATAAATATGAACATTTAATTTTATTTACTTTAAAAAATAAATAAAAAACCGATTAGTGAAATACGCGCATATTAAAAGTAATTATAAATAGTTGGTGTAAAATCGTATTTTTTGTATTTATTTAATGTTGGTAGCGAGTTACACGACGAAAGGTGACTGGTTATTTGGTTTTCTATGTACAGAAGACACATTATTATCAAGTTTTCGATCTATGCGAGTAACATACATAGCCACGAATCTTGTGCGTTATTTATACAGGTTAGCTGGCATAAAGTCAAATAGCTATGGATACGATGGTAGCAGTAGTGAGTACGTTGGGTGTTAGGACACATATTATAGATACACACAAACGTACAAGCGCTCGTTTGGAAATACTAAGGTTTAAAGGATAATCGCTTTGGCGATTCTTACTACTCGCTAACGAATAACCTATAACACCGTAAATTTCATTACTCACGTGATTCTATTTTACTAAAAAGAGTGAAAAACGTTTTTGTTACTGCAATAGTCACTATTGGCTACAAACAAAAGTTATTTATAATTTACTTACTTTATAACTGAATGTCAAAACTAAAAAAAAAAAAACAATTTTATTGTTACTTTTAATTTTTGTAAGTTCTTCTGAGGGATAATTATTATTATGTTAAAATGAATAGTTCTGTTTATATTATTATTTTTGTTTTATTAAATCTAGCTATTGCAAAATGTTCAGGTGACCATATTGATTTGCCTGATTATGACACTGAAAATTATGATAATGAACCCATTCAAGGTGATGACGAAACGGAGGATGAAAAGAGACTATGGGCAGATGAAGCACTGTTGGACGTAGCATTTTACTTGAGAGCCCATAAGTTTAACGAATTTGATCGTAGGTAATACGAGTCATTTATTTATATTTATTTTATATTTAAAAACGGCATGGACCAATTACATAGCATGTAGAAGCACTCAACCAATGTTAAGAAATTTAACAAAAGTTGATTATAAACTTTTTTATTATTTATGATAAGGAAGTATTATTTTAAAGTTTAATTTTTATACAGTAAGACCAATTTATAAAAATTTGTCTGTTATTTATACATATATTAAGTATGTGTATTATGCTGTATACATATAAGACCCGAAATTATACAAGATGGTTGTTTAACTATGATTTACACAATATTTTTAATATAATAAAGAATAATATATTTTTTTCTTTTTGGAAGTTAATACTATACTACGAGGTAGTATTTTTTTAAATTATAGAACGTAGTAATACTACGTTCTATAATTTAAAAAAAAATGCTTCCTCATCTCCCCCTTTTCCCTCTTAAATTGTTATTAAATTTTGTTTTTTAAATAGAAACATACACGTTTAATCAACTTACAAACTATTATATAACTAATAAAATGACTGATTGATATCAACATTTAAACCAGTATTTCGGAAGTCATTAACATTTAATTTAAAAACTAGAGTTGAGGCACATATCTGTTTATTATTAGCTCTAAGAATTAATGAATCACATTATTCCTGCTACCTTACTATAAAAATGCCAGTATTATTTAGAAAACTAAATCAAAAGTTCTTCTCAACCAATTGTTTTCTTAGATAGATTATTTTCAAGATTATATGTGGACTAAAAATATACATTTTCATTAAAAAAAAAATAGCACAGAACAAAAGCAAAATTCTAACTCAAAAAGAATTAAAGAAAAATTACAAAAAATCATTACCACACGCAATGATTTTACTGAATCCGCAAACGTTCGTCGCATTCGTCGTTTGAAAAAATTGGCAATTTAAGTTGATTCAAATGTTAAAATTACTTTCATTCGAAATACTTTTTTTTTAAATAAAACCATACATTTATATATTATAAATATACAATGTATATTCATATATTACACTTATAAATCATAAAACTTGTAATCCGGATATAAATGAGGAAATAGGAGATCATGTAGCTTTTGGAATATTCCACCATTTTTTTAAAATTTAACACTATCTACAAATTTGCACCGAAGCGTTTTTCATGATAGTGATTAAAATTACTGTCATATACCATTATACTTGACCCAACTATGCCACGTCCCCATTGTGCCGCAACCCCAGTGTGCTAGGTTTTTTTCATAATAAAGTATATTACATAAGTTTTAATGTAAGATCTAAAATGTAAATATTTCCGGAAAATTTTCAAAAATTGAGTTGAAAAAGTTTAACTCGTGTGTAAAAATTGTTATTTTTAAATCCCTCCTGTGGTCAAGTCAAATGTCAGATTTTCAAAAAATTTATATCAAATGAAAGAAGTAAACAAAAAGTATTTATAAAAAAAATAATTGTATTGATCCATACATTTTTTGTTATAGTTATAGTAATTTAAAGTTAAAAGAATTAAATCTGAAATCGTAAATTTTAACACCAAAATTGCAATTTTTTTTTTTTTGTACTTATAGTAAGCTTTAATTTGACATATATTTAAAGCTTGGAATATTCATTGAACATTTTCAAACTTAAGTTGAAAAAGTTAAATTTTTGTGCAAAAGTTGCTGTAAATTTTGAATTCGCTTCTGTGGGCTGGTAAAAGGTCAAATTTTCAAAAAAATTATATCAAAAAATGGGAAATATCTAAGGTTTCAAAATAAAAAAAATATTTTGATTTGTTATTTTTTCAATAAGTTGATGAAAAAATTGTCAAAATTTACCGATTTGAAAAATCATCATTTTTTGGGGGATTTTCATCATTTATATGAAGCGAGGAAATATTTTTTTAATTTTTGAAGGTAATGTCTTCAACTAGATATAATTTGTGATCTTTTAGCATATCGTTGAGAAAAATCTGTCCATTGAGATCTGAGAAAAGTAGTGATAGACACAAAAAAATATAAATAAACACATCACGATAAAATTAATACCTTTTCTGCTTCCCATCGATGCTAAAGTTAAATGTGTTAAATTTTAAGAGGAAACAAGGAAAGTAGTAACAAATTATTTTCTGAAAATTATTGAACGTTTGATAATATTAACTTCTGAAAATAAAAAATTATAATACGCTTTTTCATGTTTAAAGATACTACGTGTGTCTTAGTAAAACAATTATTCTGTATATACATTTTTAACTGTATAATAGTTTAACTTCCAAAAGACACTTTTTTTATTGTTATTTGATTAAACTACAATTGTTTCTAATTGTTAAGTATTTTTTAAATCTTATTGCATTATTTAATAAGACTTCCTTAATATAAACATAATTTTTCTGGAAACGTAAAAAAATTTCATGCTTCAAATTTAATAACCAAATTAATTTAAAAGTGGTAGAACATGTTTAATTTTATAATTTTCATAAAATACATGATTTTTTAGCTTCAATGCGAAGCTGAGAAGGTATTAAATTTACCATGATGTGTTTATTTTTTTTTATTTTTTTGTGTCTGTCACTACTTTTTCTCAGTTCTCACTGGACCGATTTCTTTCAACAATACGTCAAAAGATCACAAATCATATCTAGTTGAAGACATTATCCTTAAAAATTGAACAATTTTCTCTCGTTCCCCGCAAATAGGAGAAATCTTCAAAAAAATTACAATTTTTAAAATCGGTAGACTTTGTCATTTTTTCACTTTTTTTTTAAAAAACTTCCATAACTTTTTTAAAAATCAACAAATCAACATAATGTTTTTTTTAAAGAATTTTAGTTAAGATGTTATCAATTCAGGTTTTTAATTTATAGTTTCATAAAATATTTATTAGTTTGTAGAAAAAACTTTCTTGTAATTTAAAACTGCTATAAAATTTTTAAGAAAACTGATCCTAATTAAATTTTAATAGAATTTGTGAGATACATTAAGCTTTTTTTGGTATGCTTTTTATGAAATTTTAAGTATAAAAAGATTATAAAAGAGGCCAACTACGCATAAAATGAAAAAATTTTGAAAAATTATGAAAATGTTTTGAAACGTTTAATTACTTTTAACCTGTATAAAATTAAATTTATTAGAGTGTTCTACGATATTAAAAAGGAAATCCTTTGGCCGTTAAATTATAATAATTTACACTTTTTACAATAAAATTAATTTATGTTCAATTTTTGAAAATATTTCGGCCGTCTAACAAATCGAAACCTATATCAATACAGGTGACATGAAAAGGAAATTTATATTATCAAAAGGACACAAAAAATACAACGATAAGAGTGTTAAATATGTTTCTTGTACTCTGTATACCCAAAGATTTCCTAAACTTAATAGAAATATCTAACACATATATGCTACAAAATAAACATTTCAACCAGCCTTGTGAAATTTTAAAACAGAGAATTTATAAAATTTTAAATTTACAAATTTAGTATAGTACAATCAAACAACATTATCCCACTATTATTAAACTTCCAGTTTGGCTTCCGCTTACACCATGCCACAACTCACCAACTCCACCGGATCGCTGACAACATCTCATCTGCACTCGAAACCAAAAAATACTGCGCCGGAGTCTTTTTGGATGTTGCGAAAGCATTTGATACCGTCTGGCATGATAGTCTCCTTTACAAACTTAAAAATACTTTTCCAGCTCCACTGTACTTAATACTAAAATCCTATCTTGAAAACCGCTCATTTAATGTTCGTCACAACCTGCAACATTCAAATCAATACCCTATCTCTGCCGGTGTCCCTCAAGGCAGTGATATCGCTCCATTCTTATATACTATTTATACATCAGACCTGCCTACATCTAAAAACACTATAGTCGGAACTTATGCTGATGATACTGCCCTATTATCAGCTTCTCCCGACCACAACATTGCATCTCAACAACTTCAAACTAACCTTAATACTCTTTCACAATGGTTCACCAACTGGAAAATAAAAATTAATGTACTAATGTATAGTCTTCCTTTGTTACTTTTTCACTCAGACCTCACAACTACCCAGCTGTATCAATTAACAATATCGTCATTCCTCACTCGAATGAAGTTAAATACCTCGGTCTTACATTCGAAAGGCGCCTAACTTGGTCTTGTCATCTTAAAGATAAGCGTAAAAAACTAAATTCTAGACTCCATCTGTTAAGGCCACTCCTCCGTTCTAACCTAACCATACCTATCAAAATAATTTTGTACAAAACTCTTCTTCAACCAATATGGACATATGGTATTGTAATCTGGGGTTCTGCTAAGGCCTCAAATAAATGAACCATTCAAGCATTCCAAAATATCTGCCAGCAGATAATCACTGGTGCACCCTGGTTCGTCTCAAACGAGACCTTAAATTCCGACCTCAAACTACCTTCAATCAATGATACTACTGCTATATATTATAAACGCTTCTACGCCATGTTACAAGATATTCCCAACCAACTATTACACGTTTTAGCTTCTTTAACACTTCCTGGAAACCCTACAATACGCCTCAAAAGGAATTGGTGCCGCGACTTAAAAACCTAAGAATAATAACTTGATAATTAAGAGGTGTCTCAAATGTGTGACTTCCTCCTCATGTGGAAATACATTGCCAACTGTCTATAAATTATAAATATTACTTATTGTGCATACTGTATAGATTGTAATTTTTCAAATAAAGCGAATTAAAAAAAAAAATTTACAAAGTATTCTAAAATTTAGCAAATTCGCATCATCGAAGTGATTTTTATAGATGTCAATGTTTATCACCCCAATAACATCATCTATACTTGTACTATGTTTTAACCGCACTGTTTTTGCATTTTTTTTTTTATGTATTCAGCTCTTAGGTTTAAATCTTGAGGGTGTTAGGGATGTTGTTAGGCACTTTGAGTAGGTTTATCCTTCTTTTCAACTTATTACTTAAAAGTGTATAGCATCAGGCTTTATCATAGTTAAAATCTTTTGCGTATAAGAGACTTAGTTGTAACAAAATTATTGCAAACTAACAAATTCAACTAGTAGAAGTGAGAGAAACTATATATAGTTCCTGTAAATCAGTTATATATATATATAAATGTTCAGTAGGTCAACAAACGGGGTCTATTATTCTCATTATTTGTAAAAATTAACCTGTTTCCTTACTTTTTGATTACTCTATATGTTAGCTGTTATAGTTCCTAAGAAACTGTTATGTATTTTTCATGTAAATTGCCGATATATTGCCTAACGACAAGTGTAGTAACATAACAACTTAAAAATACCAAATTTTATTGTAGATGTAAAATAAAATTGACAATTCTGTCCTTGTTAATGGCAAACAAATTTTTTCTAAGACTCTTGTCAAAACTTTTATATCAACATTAATGGAACTTAATAAACTTCTATTAATTTAGAATATTAATTTTTTTTATTTATATGGATAATAAATTTTAGTTTTTTCACTATACTTGACGATGATAATACAGAGTAATCCATTATTGATTATTTACTTAGAAACTTCAAAAATTAAATTTTTGTAAAGAGAAAAATTATTTAGTTCAAAAACAACAATATTATGTAATCAAACTATTTGTTTTCATTTCTCTGAGAATAAAACTTTTAGCTTTAATTTTCTAAAATAGGAGCTCCTGTTATAAACTTGATAATATGTTAAAAAAAAAATACTAACAATTTTGTTCTAATAAATATTTGAAACCATTTGAGTTTAATAACTGTTTAGAAATTTTATTTAAAGTAAAAATATATCATTAGTTTAGTTTTACCAGAGGCACATATAATTTTTTTCAAAAGATAATTAATATTTTTAATGATAGTTATCAATAAAAAATTTCCACGTCAGTGAGTAAACGTGTACGGCAGTAAACTTGCGTTGATTATAAAGGTAAGTGACTATTAAGAGTTATGAATTTTTAAAAATAAGATTTCTGTATGTTGAACCTTAATAAATAAAAGCTAGGTTATATCACAAAATAGAAAAATAAACTTTTGTTATTTTTATCAATGAAATATCATAAATTCATTTCAAATTACTAAACTTTAATATGCTTAAGATTGATTAAATAAAAAAACTATAAGAACAAATTTTTTTTTCTTTAACATATTATCAAATTAAAAATAAAATTTCATAGTTAAGAAAATTAAAGTTTTATTCCTGAAAGGATGAAAAAATAATTATTTCACCACATGATATTGAAGAATTTTTTGGACCAAATTTTTATAAAGAGAATAATTTCTCTTTACAAAAATTTAAAATATTGAATAGTTTTTGAAAAAATGATAGTCTTACCCAAAATTGATATTGTATATAAATTTACGAAAATTGAACCAAATTAACTTTTTTTTGTTGTTAGATATTATTTAAAGATGAACGAGAACAATTCTTATTTCTTTGCACAATTTCCAATACCACCGTTAGTAACATTCCACTGGGAAGTATTTGAAAAATGCTCCAAAAGCATATTTATCTGTCTCAAGTATCTTCATAATGTAATAAGTGAAACAAGCTTTCAGGTGATGATACAGCATTGTAATTAAGTAAAAAATATTTTCTTTTTGAAAAAATGACACAAAAAAAAAACGAAGAGTAAAAATTGACACTGTATAGCCTGCTTATCGATTAAGTTTGCATTATGTAACCTTAATGACATCAGCGTGAAGGTGCCAACAAAATAAAAGAAGTAAAAATATTGATTTTACTTTTTTTCTCAAGGCTAAGGAACAAAAAATTATTTCTGGAGACATTTTAGCTGCAGTTCATTGCTATTACATTTAATAGTTATTTAAATATTTAAAAATTTTTAATCATAATTTAATACCTTTGTAAAATAGGAAGAATGTTAAATTTTCTCGAACTTGATTAGTTGCTAATAAATTTAATCTTTTATGGCTCTAAATTATCATATTCAAATCCTGTAATAAAATATTCATAATTCACTCATTATCTTACAATTTCTGCTATATATATATATTATTTAATTATTTATTATGACTTAAACAGATATTACTAAACAGGTATATCATGACTTATAATATTTATGATAATTAGAGAGAATCTTCAACTAATCATTTAATGCGTCAAATGAATTGGACAATGGAAAATCATAGTGAATATATCCATATGGTAGACAATGAATGTTTGCGTTTAAAAAAATTAGATTGGACCCGACCGAATCCTTTTCGTGGTCCATTGGATAGGTTTCGTTGGCGAGTGACGGCTAGCTATTTCATGTGTTGGTACACAATGCAGGTAAGTTCCGACAGCCTTGTTTCCTTGTATTTATTTGTCCTTTTTACTGTGTTGCCAAAAATATACAGACAAATCCACATTTGGCTGATTGCCGAACAAACAGCGAACGATTTTTCTTTTTTTCTTTTTTATAACCCTAAGAATCTGAAACCTGTGATTCATTGACAACAAGACTATCACTGATATATTTCTAGGTCCCTTTTTAATTAAATAGTTCATTAAAATCCTTAATAAATCTTTTTAATTTATAGGAAGTCGAAAGCTCTTTTTACTAGTAAATTGTAGAATATGTGTTTTAATCAGTATATATGTATAGAATTTCATAGAAAATAATGCACAAATCATTTTCTGAACCAGTTGGATTCAGTATTGTCATCATACATATAAAATTTTAATATATAAATTTTATCTATGGACTGAAAAATTATGGCAAATCATTTTGTTTTTATTTTGTATAGAACATATCACTATTATCAATGTTTAACGAACCATGTGATGATATTGGCGAATGCTATCAATCTGAATTACTTGATTTTCGATCTGACAACTCTATACCTTATCAATGTGCTTTATATAGTTTTTGTCCAGATCCATGTTGCCCAGTTCGCCGAGTAGTAAATCCAAGAGATTGTGATATCAAGAATCCGTGTCGATTTGCTTTAAATAATAAAGTCAGTTTCTACTTAAATCTATTACTAAATTTAAATTTTAAGCATTAGAAAATAAAATAAACTGGTTTCTGAATATAAATAAAAATTTTATAAATACAAAATAGTCACCATGTTTTAACTTTGATGCAATGCTGACAAGGTATTAATTTTACTATGTTTATTATTTATTTATTTTTCTGTTATCACTTAATCTCAGTTCTTACTGGACCGATTTTTCTCAACGATACGTCAAATTATATCTAGTCGTAGACATTATCCTCAAAAATTGAAAAAAAATCCCTGGCTCCCGGTAAATGGGAAAAATCTCCAAAAATATTACAAATTTAAAAATCGGTAATTTTCTACATTTTTTCAATCTTTTTTACTTAAAACTGTCATAACTTTTTGAAAAATAGATGAATAGAAATGAAAATTTTTTATTAATACCTTTGGTATTTTTCATAAAAAATTAATTTTATTTTTAATACGTGTTAAGGATAAGGAGAGATTGATATATAACTTAAGTTAAAAATTATAGTAAATAGAAATAAAGAGAGTAAAAGAAGTTGGTTGAAGTTCTAAAGAGTGATAAGGGAATATCTAGTGTGTGTAAAGAGAATGGGCATGAAACCAAGTTAAATAAAAAATAGTTAAGAATATTTTTTAAAATTTAATACGGTTTTATTTTTAACATTATAGAACTTTTAATTACTGCATTATTCTTAAAAATTATTAGGAAATAATGATATATCTAATTTTAAGACATTCTGAAGTAGAACTTGAGATATAGGGGCTTACATTACAGTAACATCATCAATTTGTCCCTTTCCTTCAAAAAATTATTTATTGAACTATTTTTTAGCTTCGATGCGAAGCTCAGAAGGTATTGGTTTTACTATGATGTTTTTTTTTTTTTTTTTTTTTTTTTTTTTTTTTTAAC